AGCATTGTTTTCGTTGATTACAAAACCAGTGACTGACTGGTTCTACATATAAAACTGAAGAAAATAAGACCTTGGCTGTAGCTGTAGTAAAATTAATATGGTTGTTTTAAGTAATGTTATTTAATGTTAATAAATGGAACAATAGAAGTAGCTAACGATAATGGTAAAGAAAAAAGAGAGATCGCGTATGTAAGTGCGCATGCGCACACGTGAAAACATATCGTCATTACTTTACATAAGAATATGAAAGCAACACTTATTTACTGTTCATATATATTTTAATTAATGTTTCTGAATTTGTTTTTATTGAATTAATGTTTGTGTGTGCAAAATTAACAATACAATTTATTAATAATACGTGGAATATTAGAGGAGACGAGACGGCTGCCGGCATTGTTTATGTTAAAGCTTACAAAACCAGTGACTGATTGGTTCTACATATAAAACTGAAGAAAATAAGACCCTGATTTTAGCTGTAGTAAAATTAATGTAAAAAAATTAATATGGTTGTTTGAAGTACCTGTAATGTTATTTAATGTTAATAAATGGAACAATATAAGTAGCTAACCATTAATGGTAAAAAAAAAAGTGAGACTGCGCGTATGTAAGTGCGCACATGTGAAAATATATCGTCATTACTCTACATAAGAATATGAAAGCAACACTTATTTACTGCTTTATCTGTGTTATTTTCGTTAGTTTATTAGGATGTTGCTTTAATAGAGGTAGTAATCCGGCAAAAAAGTAAGGTAAATAAGGCAAAATTCACCCTCGAAACACCCTACATAAAGCATAAAAACATAAGATAGGAAATAAGTAAATAAGAATACATGGTACTATTTCATTAACCTTTAATGCTACCAAAATTCTGCTTCCAAAGTGAAGTGATGGTACAGTACTGTGACTCAAATTACATTTGAGTTACATCAGGGATGTTGGCTGTGGTGTCAGGGGTCGTGGCTGTGGTGACGTTAGGTACATCGGGGGCAGAGGAAGTGCTGGCAAGTGGATTTGCTATGCTAGAGTGTTCTTCACTGTTTTTGTTGGCCATCTTCTTGAACCACTCTTGCAAAGTTGTTTGCTTCATGTACTTTGGTTTCTCTTTATTCAATTTACATTGAATCAAATACAGCCATGATTTCTTGCTCCGTAATAAAACTCTTTTGTTCTAGTCCCGTGATTAATTCTGTGCACAGCTGGATGCACCTGTCAATAGAAATTCTTTCTTTGATATCCTCTTCCTCCTCGTCGCTTGCTTCGTCATCTTCCTCCTCTCTTTTCTTAACCATCTCCACAATCTCTTCATCAGAGAGTTGATACACAATAGGGGCATCTTTGTCAACATCCATCCACTCTTCCAGCTGCTCTTCACTCAGTTTATTGGCCACTTCAACACACACAGGGTTTGTCATTGTATTAGCATACTCAAGCAACTCACGAATAACTTGCTTTTCTTTTGACACGTGAAATCCAGCAAAGTCTTGGTCCACATCTGCACTCTCCTCAAACATTAAGGCTGGCCACAGATTATGCCATCCATTCTTCAAAGTTGATGGAGTCACCTTATCCCAGGCATAGGCAAGTGTCCAAATAACATCCTTTAGGTTAACCTCTTTCATGAATGCTGAAACATGCTTCCCATTATTCACCGCAGCGAGCAAATGGCGCATGAAAGCAGCTCTATACTTACACTTAAGTGAGCGTAATATGCCCTGATCACAAGGCTGAATCAGAGATGTACAATTTGGGGGTAAAAATAGTCCAACCACATTGTCTTTCACTAAAAGTTCAGCCTTAGGGTGGGCAGAACAATTGTCCAGAATCAACACTATTTTACACTTTGGATCTAGGCCTACTGAGGTGCAGTGTGCTCTAGCCTCATGCACAAAATACCTTTCAAACCACTCTAGGCATAGTTTTGTAGTTATCCACCCCTTCTTGTTACCACGGTAGATAACTGGAAAAATTTTCACACCTTTAAATGCCCGTGGGTTGACACTTTTCCCAATTACCATTAGCTTACACCGGTGAGTGCCTGCTGCGTTGCTACAACCAAGGACCGTAACCCTATCCTTCGAGTCCTTACCACCTGTTGGTGCCTCCTCACTCTCTGTAGCTAGCGTTTTTCTAGGCATACAACGCCAATATAGAGCAGTCTCATCAGCGTTATACACTTGTTCTGGGGATAACTTCTCCTTTGCCACAAACTGTGCGAATTCGTCCACATACTTGGCAGCTGCTTCACTGTCTGCACCTCGCTTTTCACCACACACATAATGTAAAGAAATACCATGCCTATTTTTAAACTTGTGTAACCATCCTTGCGAATAATCACAGGCATGCTGAAGGTTTAGTTGTTCATGAAAGATCTTTGCTTGCGCCACAATCATCTCGCCTGAAATGCTTACTCCATCATTACACCGAAGCTTAAACCACTGTAATAAAGCACTGTCTAACTCACTACTTTTGCCTTCTTTCAATGTCTTACGAGTTATCATAACTTTCTTGGTCTCACTGTCTGCAAAAAACTTAAATATCTTGTCCTTCTGCTTCTTTATGTCATAGATCGTGGATGACCCAACATCGTACTTCTCACACAAGTTGCGTACCGAAGCACCTTTATCTAATTTCTGCAATAGTTCAACCTTTTCCTGGATAGATAGTGACTTGTGCTTACGCTTGGAAGCACTAGCACCACTATCACTGCTTCGTGGTTTCTTTGAAGACATATTGAAGGATTAAATGTTGTACTCTGTATAGACAAACAGAGAGAGAGCCGAACTGCCGGATGTAAACAAACCCTAATTTCCCGCGCCTTTGTTGTTGTTTTTTTACGGGGGATTAGCCCACCCAGGCACAGGCCACTGACTCACATTGGAGCCTGAGGGGCAAAAATGTAATACTTCTGTAATAATAATAATAATTCAGAAAAAAAAAATTGCCTATCTACCTATTGGGCAAACTAAAATCGTGCCGGACCACGGGAGTTTCCGGACCACAGAATGCCGGACTAGAGAGGTACAACCTGTATAATATCACAGACTAAAGTTAGGAGAATATAATTTGCATTGCTAGAATTATTGCAAGACAGCGAATAATTTGAATATAAACATCATGTATTTTGCACAAGAGATACAAATTTTTGCCCTTTGTAATAAAATGCGAACTATAGCATGTATATATTCAGACTAATCACTATCTTATAAGAATTCCAGCAATGTTAATTATATTCTCCCAGGTCAGTTTAGTGACATTTTATAAGAGGAAAACTTAAAGTCACTCTTAAGGACAGATAAATAAATAAGCACTAGACCTTGGCATCAACTGTCAAACATATCACCTCACCTCCTCCCTCCCCCCATCTTCCCAGCCAATAAACAGACCATCTGGCATCCCTTAATTTTAGCTATGTTGATTTATGAGTGTTTGTTTTAACATAATACTACAAAAAACAATGTTTTGTTTATTCTAGGAGATGGGCTGAGGTGCATCTGGGTAGACTCAGTCTTTTTAGTATTTTGTGTTTCTCTCAAGTACCAAACTAAATTATTCCATTGAAACAACACTTCGATTTAGTGCGAATTCGGTTTAAAGCGACCTCTCTTGGAACGTATCTCGTATTATATCGACGTTCTACTGTATACAATACAGTAAATAATTTGATTTTGATACCTTGTTTTATTTTAGTTATTATCATAATAAATCACTTCTGTCTTGAAAAAAATTCTATTAGCTTACTATGTCATGGGAGGGAGGAGGGAGTGAGGCATCAATTTCAATACAACGTATCCTTATATTTCAGGTCAAATTACAAATTATTCTGTATATTTTATTTTTCTATCACTGAAGATATTATATTAATTATGATGAATCACACAACATAAGAGACTGTTCATATGAGAATATAAAAATTAATCAATAAAATAACCTGACAAACATGTTAATGCCCAGTGTGTAAGTAGCGAGGTGCAGTGCACTGACAGGCCTATTGAATATAAAAAAATTCCAATTCCCTACTGGGTTTGTAAATTTTCAAATCTGCTAGCCTACAGAAATTCCCACAAGCCCATAATTGCTTTTGAAATGTGTGGGTATATCTTGTAAAAACTCACAGTGGTGCAAACAATGGCACACAAAATGGATACGCTGTAAGACTAATTGGATCATATAAAATGATCCATGACTGACAGCCCCATGCTTGTGGTGGTGATGGAGTGCAGCAGTCATGTGTGTGTGTGTTTGACTATGATGTGGATGATGCAATACCTGCTTATCCTCTGCTCTCTTCCTGGGAGGATTACCATCGCCATTGTTTGAATTATTTTACTTAAAATCTTATCTTTTTTTGTGGCTGAATGTGTGTTGAACTGGTAAAGCCTGGGCTGTTATCTGACCTTTTTCTATATTAATCTACCTGTATTCATTGCTAGTGTACCCTATTATTTACTCCGTGTCCACTCACCATCTTTTCCTGCATGTTGGTGGTGCCTCGGTGAGTCAGCTAACGAATCATAAACATTATTCATGCATTCTTGTGCATATTGTAATTTATCTCTATTTTTATTATACCAATAAGTATAGTTTCTTAATAGTTCTGTAGAAAAACTGGGAGTAAATTAGAGAGCTGCTCAGTACAAATTTTGTTCCTATAAAACCTTTCAAAATGGTAGGGTCTACTTTTAAGGTCTCCTTCACTTTTACATGAGACAAAATAATCACTTGCATGATGGGCTAGTAATTTTTTAATCTGACTTACTCTCAGACTCGAGCATTTGCCGATTGTGACACCAACACAAATACGTTCAACCGCATGTATGAACACACAAATTGTCTTGATTGATGCTGGATTTTCCAGACTTTTAAAAATATTTCCACTGAATAGAGGGGTGGTGGGAGCACCTTAGAAAGCCCCAAAAAGCAAATTCTGGTGTATAGAAGTTCTATTGTATACAGATTTAGACACATCTGACTTTATAATGACTGATTCTTTACATCCACAGAGTGTTGCAGGCACTCCACACCAGGAACTTGGCCAAACGCCACTACGTCCTCCTAAAAGTGTCAGGAGAGGAGCACATCCTGTTGGTTCTGAATCTCGAATCTTGGGCACTCCTGACTATTTGGCTCCTGAACTTCTGTTACATCTTGGACATGGTGGGTGGGTGTGTCTTCAATATAAATTTACAGAGAAAAGGTTGATGAATATGAGCATCTTGTATATCTAGATCTATACAGTAAACCAGTTTGTATATAAAAAAGAAAAAAATCGTGGGAAATTGATGAAGAAATGGTCATTTCCGGACAAACTTTAGTACTGTATACAAATGATATCTCCATTAGCTGGAACAATTGGTGCAGAGCACTTCTGGGAATGATAGATTTCCAGGTAACGAGATGACTCTCTCAAAGTCAGAAAAAGATCCCTCATCCCCGGAATTTTCCGGGTAACAGAAAAATGGTCTTGAAAGTTCCAGAAATTGCCCATTACTTCGTCTCTTGAACCCAGAAAAAGTCGGGGGGTTTTTTCTTCTAAAAACCAGTTTTTGGGATATAGTGCAGAATGTGATGTCTAGCTTTATACCTAGGTATGTAAATGCCTAGCATTAATTTGCCAAGCCAACATACAGGCAATTAAAACATCTAATAATTACTTATATACATAATATTAGGACACGTCACTACCTGGCATTTAATTGTAATTCTCAAAACCCCCTCCCGCACCCTCCATCACACGCATTGCTATCGTCATCTCTTGCCCTAGAGTGAGCAGTAAACATATGTCAACTCTCGAGGGGTGGAGATGGATAGGATGTCGACGTCGCATTCTGGACTACATCACAAAAAATGTTTTTTAGAAAAAAAAAAACATTTTGTTCAATCCAGAATGCGATGTCTAGCTCTGATTACCCGAGCAGAAGGTGGAGAGGGAGGTGACATTGCGTATAAGGCTCCGCTAGCTTAGGTCCAGATTATAATTACAGGTTGTACCTCTCTAGTCCGGCAACCTCGGGACCTGACCGGTGCCGGACCATGGAAATTCACCCTTTTCCTGGATAGATAGTGACTTGTGCTTATGCCTGGAAGCACTAGCACCACTTTCTCTGCATCATGGTCTCTTTGAAGACATATTGAAGGGTTAAATGTCGTATAGTAGCTTCTCAAATTTCGCGAGTTTTTAATTCTTAACGTATTTTATTGGAACACACAAAAAATAAATAAATAAAAATTTTGACGGCGGAAACTTGAATTTCGACGGGTTTGAACGGCCCGCCAACGTGCAGACGACGTGCATAATCGTGTAAACAGCGTCATTTCTCTTATGTACAAAAGATTCATTATTGTTTATTACTGAATGTCTTTTTTATTGAATTAATGTTTATGTGCAAAATGAGCAATACAATTCATTAATAATACGTAGAATATTAAAACACACGAGGAAATGACACAGCATTGTATTCGTTGATTACAAAACCAGTGACTGACTGGTTCTACATATAAAACTGAAGAAAATAAGACCTTGGTTGTAGCTGTAGTAAAATTAATATGGTTGTTTTAAGTAATGTTATTTAATGTTAATAAATGGAACAATAGAAGTAGCTAATGATAATGGTAAAGAAAAAAGAGAGATCGCATATGTAAGTGCGCATGCGCACACGTGAAAACATATCATCATTACTTTACATAAGAATATGAAAGCAACACTTATTTACTGTTCATATATATTTTAATTAATGTTTCTGAATTTGTTTTTATTGAATTAATGTACGTGTGTGCAAAATTAACAATACAATTTATTAATAATACGTGGAATATTAGAGGAGACGAGACGGCTGCCGGCATTGTTTATGTTAAAGCTTACGAAACCAGTGACTGATTGGTTCTACATATAAAACTGAAGAAAATAAGACCCTGAGTTTAGCTGTAGTAAAATTAATGTAAAAAAATGAATATGGTTGCTTGAAGTACCTGTAATGTTATTTAATGTTAATAAATGGAACAATATAAGTAGCTAACCATTAATGGTAAAAAAAAAAAGTGAGACTGCTCGTATGTAAGTGCGCACATGTGAAAATATATCGTCATTACTCTACATAAGAATATGAAAGCAACACTTATTTACTGCTCATATATATTGAAGGGTTAAATGTTGTACTCTGTATAGACAAGCAGAGAGAGAGAGAGAGAGCAGCCGAACTGCCGGATGTAAACAAACCTTAATTTCCCGCGGCTTTTTTTTTTTTTAAGGGGATTAGCCCACCCGGGAATAGGTCACTGACCCACATTAGGGCCTGAGGGGCAAAAATTTAATACTCCTGTAATAATAATAATAATTCAGATAAGTAAAAAAAAAAAAAGCTGCCTATCTACCTATTGGACAAACTAAAATCGTTCCGACCACGGGAGTTTCCAGACCACAGAATGCCGGACTAGAGAGGTACAACCTGTATAAACTTTTTGGAATATTTTCCAGTATTAAGAACATTTAAGGTAAAGTTTTAATTTACATATCCAATTAGGATACTCACTTTATTCTGATAAGGAAGAAGGTCCTGGTTGTGGAGATTGACTAGGTGGGGGAAGGGACCCCAGCACCACCACATGTAAAGCATCTTTCAGAGATAGATGAAGATGGCAGTTTTGAAAGATTTTTGAAAATTTCCAAAAGCCCACTTCTTTGATCTGACTGAGGCTCATATGCTGCAGAAAGGCCACAGACCCTGCATATTTCCTAGTGTCATGTGCCAAAAAATTTTTGCCAGGGTCTGCTTGACTTACTAACTGAGATAAATATTTTATCTTTTGACTAGTAGACAATTTCTTACCATCCTGTGATGAGAATACATAGGGGCCTCGATTATGGAATCTGGTTAACCATTCTTGAAGATTCTTAACTGGGCACAATATATGAGGAACCCTTGCCTCATCCATTAGCCGTTTTATCTGGATAGGTTGAGCTTGAAAGTCCTCCCTTTCATTTTTTCTAAGAATCTCCACAGGAAAAAGGTGACATCTTCCTCAGAATATACCAATAATGATGAATTATTGGAAATTGAAATCAGCTCCCTGATTCTCATACCTGTTGCTATTGCTAGAAGGAAGGCTGCCTTTTGGAGCAATCTGTCCCGGTTCAGATTTATACAGTATTTTAAGTAGGCCCCATAAGAAATTTAGTAACTTTATCTAGAGACCAAGGTGGGATTCTCTTAGGCCTAGGGGGTCTCTGAATGAAAAAGGACAATCTGAGCATTTGATAAATTCTTGGGTTCAAAGTGATATTAAAACCCCACGCCAGAGGGTCAACCAGTGCTGATTTATAAGATGCGATTGTAGATCCTTGAAGGCCCTTAACTCTGAACCGAATATTTAAAAATTCTAACACCATTGTTTCCAACAATTGATTGGGATCGTCAACCTGATAAATTCTGAAAAGGTTTACAAGCTTTCTCATATTGCATAGAAGTTTGGGGTCTATGACCTGCTATCACTTGGTTAACTATATTGGAATTACCCAACAATCTATTTAAACATCTTTTGAGAAACTCCAAGCGTAAAGTGCCAAGGATATCTCGAACTGAGGGTGCAGTATCTGGTCTAGACATTAGTGTTGCAATTGTAGTGGATGCGGGCACCATTCCAACAGATCCAGACACCACGGATGTAAGATCCAATATAGTGCAATTAAGAGGACCTTTCCTTGGAAGGATATGAGTTTGTGAACCACTTAGGCAACATTTTCACAAGTGGGAACAGATAGTTTTAATTCCAACGGTTCCAATCTATGAGTAGAGCATTTCCTAAAAGATTCAATTGTTCCAGAGATGCATAAGTTAGCATCTTGTGATTGTTTTGTGAGGCACAGAGATCTATTTGTGGAGTCCCAAACCTCCTCACTAGATTCTTGAACTTCGATATCTTTAGGGACCATTCTGTTTCCGTCGATACTGGCCTGAGACGGGACAATGCCCAATTGTTTTGTACTCCCGGTATGTGAATTGCTTTGAGGAAAATTGTTTGTGTTACACAAACTTTGAAAATTTTTCCTGATACTGTGAGAAAGGGCCAAGATCTGGTTGAGCCTTGATGATTGAGACAAAACACTGCCATGGCAAACAGAATCGTCATGTTTTTTTAAATTTGGGTTTGCCAACAAAAAGAATAGGACAACTGCTAATTTTTTTATGTTTATGTGTTTGTCCCAAAGAGAGTTGCTCCACTTCCCTTGACGGAACTCTCCTTTTGAGGAATGGTACAGGTTGTACCTCTCTAGTCCGGCATTCTGTGGTTACTTATCTGAATTATTATTATTATTACAGGAGTATTCAATTTTTGCCCCTCAGGCCCCAATGTGGGTCTGTGACCCATGCCCAGGTGGGCTAATCCCCGTAAAAAAAAACAAAGCCGCGGGAAATCATCTGCAGTTCGACTGCTCTCTCTCTCTCCTTGTCTATACAGAGTACAACATTTAACCCTTCAATATATATGAGCAGTAAATAAGTGTTGCTTTCATATTCTTATGTAGAGTAATGACGATATGTTTTCACATGTGCGCACTTACATACGCGCAGTCTCACTTTTTTTTTACCATTAATGGTTAGCTACTTATATTGTTCCATTTATTAACATTAAATAACATTACAGGTACTTCAAACAACCATATTAATTTTTTTACATTAATTTTACTACAGCTACAATCAGGGTCTTATTTTCTTCAGTTTTATATGTAGAACCAATCAGTCACTGGTTTTGTAAGCTTTAACATAAACAATGCCGGCAGCCGTCTCGTCTCCTCTAATATTCCACGTATTATTAATAAATTGTATTGTTAATTTTGCACACACAAACATTAATTCAATAAAAACAAATTCAGAAACATTAATTAAAATATATATGAACAGTAAATAAGTGTTGCTTTCATATTCTTATGTAAAGTAATGACGATATGTTTTCACGTGTGCACACTTACATATGCGATCTCTCTTTTTCTTTACCATTATCGTTAGCTACTTCTATTGTTCCAACATTACTTAAAACAACCATATTAAATTTTACAGCTACAACCAGGGTCTTATTTTCTTCAGTTTTATATGTAGAACCAGTCAGTCACTGGTTTTGTAATCAACGAAAACAATGCTGTGTCATTTCCTCGTGTGTTT